TGGCATTGGATGGAGAAGCTAGAATCGGCTCCAAGGAGTGAGGTGGGAGCCTGGTAGGGAACGAAGGCAGTTTGGTCTTTAAGCATTGTGTGGGTGGCACCACTGTCTAGTATGAACTCAATTCCCTGTGTGGTTGAAACAACGATGTACTGCGACCCCTTCTCATTAAGAAGACCAGCACCAGAGAACAACAGGTTAAGGCGAACATCAGATGGGGCACTAGCAAATGCCTGAGCAGGTTCCTCCACTGCCTCGACCTGGTTCACGCGACGGGGTGGTGCCCAGTTGGGAGGGCGCTTGTCCTTGGAGACACCGTGGACGTCATACCACTCGTCATCTCGCTTCTTGAAGCAAGTTGCCTCAGGATGGTTGGTGCCGTTGCATTTCTGCCCCGCACGTGGACCCTTCCTAATGAGGTACTGGCATGGGGGAAAGGAGTTGCGCCTCTGGCCCTGCTGGGAACGAAATGGGATGCCAGGGGAGTAGCGCACAGCATTGACGGATGCCTGGGCTGCAAGGTCCTTTTCGGCAGAGAGAAGGGCCGAAGCGACTTTCTCGAAGGTGAGTTCCTTGGTGGGGAGCTGCTTGAGCATGGAACTGGTGACGTTGTAGGCCGGGGTGAGTCCGACGAGAAGCCCAGCAGCAGGTGCCTGTTCGGGGAAGGTGATCCCAATGTCCTTGAGCTCCTCATGGATGTTGCGGATTTCAGAGATGTAGTCTGCCATGCCCGGGCATTCCTCAAGGCGGATTTGGAACATGCGAGGAATGAGGATTGCAACTCCCACGGCAGTTTTGTCATGAAAGCGATCCTGGAGGTACTTCCAAATGTCATGCGCAGAGCGGAAGGTGCGGTAGGACTTGACTAACTCGACTGGGGTGGTGGTGATGAAAACCCTAATCACTGCCGCATCCGCCTGCTCCCAGAGACTGAAGTCCGTCTCATACTTGGTGGTTTTAGCGTCGAAAGCAAGCTTGGCTATGGCAGTGGCGCCTTCGCCGAGAGGATCGGGAGGGAGAGGCATCTTCCCCTTGCCGCGATTGAGGAGGATGTCCTTGAGGCAAATCCCCTTGAGCTCCGAGCTAACGAGGTGCTTCTCCACTCCATAGCACCACTCCCCGAAATTGGTGCTCGTGCCGTTGGGAGCGAGGTTAAGGATGATGAGGTTTCCGACGAGAGTGGAAGTTGAAGTTGCCATTTCGCGCGGAGCGCAGCGCTAAAGTCTCCGATATGTAGCGGAGCGAAGCGGAGCGGAGTTCGGGTGATTTTGGAAATTGAGGAAGTTCGAAACGCGATTTTGGCAATAGAATGCCCGTACTCTACCCTGATATACTGCTTTGCCAATGCCCCCTGTTCTGCTTCGCTGCTGCCCCTGTTCCGCTTCTCTGCTGCGCCGCTGATCTGTTCTGCTGCGCCGCTGACCTGTTCTGCTGCGCCGCTGGACCTGTTCTGCTGCGCCGTTGAACCTGTTCCGCTGCGCCGCTGAACCTGTTCCGCTGCGCCGCTGAACCTGTTCCGCTGCGCCGCTGAACCTGTTCCGCTGCGCCGCTGGACCTGTTCCGCTGCGCCGCTGAAAACCTGTTCGAAGTTAAGAAGATGCGAAAATTGTCACGGAGATATAAAAACCATAAGCTTACGATGAAGGAAGTCGAAAGCTGAGAATGTCGCCGTTGAAAAACGAGATGCGCGATGAAGGAAGCCGAATGCGCGCTTGACCGGAGCGACGATGTGAAGTTTCTGAAAAAACGCTAAGCGTAGGAGCTGGGAACCGAAATAGGCATAGCCTAAAAGGAGAGAACCATCGGGACGCCAAGGATCGGATTCCGCGTGAGCGGAATTTACTAGCTCGATACCATGATAGAATTGGAACTGAACTGATTGCTTGATAAGGAAGGCACTATGCCTTAAGTACAAACAGGGTTGGGTTGAGCAAAGCTAGGGAAAGGATGGGATGGGAATCCTAGCAAATCTCCAATTGGTGAGTTGGCAGATTTGCAGGATTACGAGGGAATCCCAACCAGATAGGGTTGGGATTACAAATCTACACCCAACCTACAAAGTAACCTAACCGATATAGAATATAGTACAAAGTGTTGACTGACTATTTCTAACAACGGGGCCAGAGGTTGAGCTGATGCGCAGCGTACCGGACCGCAAACGGCCACAGAAAATGGGGAGCAGCCGCATGGATCATGGAGGTACGAGCGACCTCCATGACTAAGCCAATGTGGCGCTCAGCAATCCCATTTTGCTGAGGGGAGTCTGGAAGCGTGAACGATTGGAGAATGCCCTCCCCACGACAAAAGTCCCGCAAGACGTCGGAGGAGAACTCACCACCTCTGTCAGAGTGCAGACGCAAGACAGGAATGTCCTGGTGGAACCGCTCGCGGAGCTGGAGACGCACTGCGCGGATCCAAGAGATCAAGACATCAACGACCTGACCATTGCTGCGCAAGGGGAATACCGTGGTGTACCGCGTGTAGTCGTCAACGACCAGCAAAAAGTAGCGCTTGTGGCTCTGTCCACTGACGCGGGCTGTGCTCCACACGTCCATGTGAAGAGTCTGCAAGGGAGCAGTCGTCGGGGGAAACGAGGAGGAGTGAGGAGCGGCGCGCTGCCGCCTCTCGACGCAAGAAAGACAGGGCGGGGCAGGCGAGGGCGGGAGGGGAGGCAGAGATCTGGGGAGACAAGAGACAAGAAGGCGGGAGTGCATGCCACGCAGGCGTGGCAGGGAGGGGTGACCAAGGCGGTGGTGCCAGAGGAGAGTCTGGTGCGACAGGAGGCGACACGAGCTAGGGGGTGCTACCTGACCTGACGCGGACACCTGGGCAGACGTTGCTACCTGAGAAGGCTCGGTAGCCAGTGTGTACAGACTCGACCCTGGCCGACGAGTGAACGTGGTCAGGTGACGGCCCGTCCGTGTATACGTGCAGATCGCCACACGCTGACCCCCAGGAGTGGTGGTAGTGACCATAGCATCCTGGAGGGCAGGTGTACTCACCAAGTTCGTAGAGAACGAGGGGAGGTGAAGACCTGACAGTGAGCCGGACGGAACAGCCGGGCACGGGAGAACAGTGGAGCAACGGGCAAGGACTGGCCCCCCTGAGGGGTCAGCGAGTCGGACCGGGACAGGTGCAGAGAGAAGAGTGAGGGTGGTGCTGTCGCGAAAGAAACAGCGTGAAGCACCTGAGTCAAGCGTGAAGGTGTGCAAGGCCTCAGCAGGCGCAGTACCAGGGAGAGCAGACTCACTAGCATCTAGAGCAGTAGCCTCTATACCTGGGTCAGGCAGCACACACACGGAACAGTCACCCTCAGCACCAATAGTCAAAGCATACATGGCAGTGAGGATAACGTCATAGTCTAGAGCAAAGACATCCACACCCTGTCTAATCAGCTCTAGCCAGAGGGGAAGCTCAGCGCGTCGCCAAACTCTGCACGCCAGGTGTCACTCAGACAGGAGAAGCAGCGGGACTTTGTGTGACCAACTGTCCCGCAAGTCTGACCAGCCCGATCATCTGTTCGAATGACGTACGGGCAGCGAGCACTACTTCGAGACGTCCCATGCTGTACGTACCACTCACGAAGTTGCTGAGGCGTAAAGGTCTCGCGCGGACTCTGCTGCTGCTGCGCCAGGCCACCGCCAGAAACTCCCTACTGAAGAGCTGCACAGCGACCGCCACCACTCCCGCCCCTAGGCCCCGTCGCCCCTAGCTCCGGAGCTAGGGGCGACGGGCCGAGGGGCGACGAGCGACGGGCCGGGGCCTAGGGGCGCCAGGCGACGGGCCGGGGCCTAGGGGGGACGGGCAACGGGCCGGGGCTAGGGGCGACGGGCTGAGGGGCGAGGGGCGACGGGCTGAGGGTCGAGGGGCGACGGGCCGGGGCCTAGGGGCGACTGGCCGAGGGGCGATGGGCCGGGGCGACGGGCCGAGGGGCGACGGGCCTAGGGCGACGGGCCTAGGGGCGACGGGCCGGGGGTCGACGGGCCGGGGCGACAGGCCGGGGCGACGGGCCTAGGGCGACGGGCCGGGGCGACGGGCCTAGGGGCGACGGGCCGGGGCTACAGGCCTAGGGGCGACGGGCCGGGGCGACGGGCCTAGGGGCGACGGGCCTACGGGCCTAGGGCGACGGGCCGGGGCCTAGGGGCGACGGGCAGGCCGCACGAGGGCGGCGCGAGGGGCAGTAGGCGCGGCACGAGGGTCGCTAGGGGAGGCTACTGGGGCAGCCTGTGGTGGGCCCAAAAAAACGGTCATAATGATGGACCTGCTCTGAAACCATGTCAGAATTACGAACGAGAATGGATGCATTGAACAGAAGTTGGGTACAAGTACTAACCCTAATTGGATTGTACCCCTTGTGGGCTACCCCACTATAGCCTACACAAATGTAAGCACCATAATGTTCTGACACCTTGTTAGGCTGTTCTCTGCTCTTCTTAAGAGCAGAACCTTGTTAGGCTGTTCTCTGCTCTTCTTAAGAGCAGAACCTTGTTAGGCTGTTCTCTGCTCTTCTTAAGAGCAGAACCTTGTTAGGCTGTTCTCTGCTCTTCTTCCTTGACTCTGCTTCTCCAGAGCAGAGCAGAGCAGAGCCCATGATAGGGCTTGAGCCTAACTGGGTTTGGTTCTGTTCGGTTCGATTCAGTTTTGTTTTGCTCTGCTCTTTTCTGTTTTGTTCCGTTTTGTTCAGTTCTGTTCGGTTTTGTTCTGTTCTGTTCCGCTCCGCTCCGTTCCGTTCCGTTCCGTTCCGTTCTGTTCTGTCCTCTTCTGTTCGGTTCAGCTCGGTTCTTTTATGTTCTCTTCAAGATGAAATATTCCAACACTGCCTCCTGCCCTGCTCAATCTATGCCCTCTCGTCCTCCCCCATCTTCTTCCCCACCACTTCGAGCCAGTGGAGGTGCAGATAATGCTGGAGCCTGGCATCCACACCACGCGCTGGAGTGGGTTTACTATCACCAGTAGGCACGAGCAAAGAGCCGTGCGTGTGTCCTCCCCCATTTCCCCACCAGTTCGACCCGATGGAGGTGCAGATAATGCTGGAGCCGGGCATCCACACTCTGGGCTGGAGTGGGTTTACAACAAGCAGGAAGGAACAAAGATCCTGGCTCGAATGCTCTCTCTCCCACCCTGCCTGCCCGCTCATCCCACCCTTCCCCCCTTTGCAGTTTGACCCAATGGAGGTGCAAATAATGCTGGAGCCGGGCATTCACACACTGGAGTGGGTTTACTATAAGGATTCCAAGTTCACCAAGGGGAGGGACTCTGCTGCCCTGCACGTGAGTGTGGTGTAGGGTTGAGGGTTTGTAGGGGCAGTGAGGTAGTGAGGTAGTGAGTCAGTGAGGCAGTGAGTGGAACCCGGCATTCATTCACACACTGGAGTGGGTTTACTATAAGGATTCCAAGTTCACCAAGGCGAGGGACTCTGCTGCCCTGCACGTGAGTGTGGCGTGGAGCTGAGGAATGCGTGCTTGAATATACATTATATATGCATATATATATATTCATACATATTCGTACATATTTGAATATACATACATATTCGTACATGCCAAAAAAGAAGAAGAAAAAATAGCAACAAGATCAACACCTTAGGCAAACTTCAATAAGATCATAGAGTGAAGTTAGGAAATATGCTCGTCCGTATGCTCATGCCAACAATTATAACTTCCATCCTCATGTCGTTATCCCGCCATAAACTTGCCTGCCCGCCTGCCATTCTGCCCGCCTGCCATTCTGCCCGCCTGCCATTCTGCCCGCCTGCCATTCTGCCCGCCTGCCATTCTGCCCGCCTGCCATTCTGCCTGCCTGCCATTCTGCCCGCCTGCCATTCTGCCCGCCTGCCATTCTGCCCGCCTGCCATTCTGCCCGCCTGCCATTCTGCCCGCCTGCCATTCTGCCCGCCTGCCATTCTGCCCGCCTGCCATTCTGCCCGCCTGCCATTCTGCCCGCCTGCCATTCTGCCCGCCTGCCATTCTGCCTGCCTGCCTTTCGTCTGTGCCCGCCTGCATGCCTGCCTTGTGTCTGTGCGTGCGTGCAGCTGGTAGAGGTGGGAGGGATTGACTACACGGACCGCCAGTGCTTCCCGTGCCAGGCAGGCTTCTACAGGTGAGTGGGGAGAAAATGGTAGGGAGCAGTGCAGTGATGCACAAGGGGCAGGGGGCAGCGGGCAGCGGGCAGGAGGCAGGGGCCAGGAGTTAGTGGCGGGAAGTGGTGGGAAGTGGTGAGCAGGGCGCAGCAGGGCTCCAGATGTGAGCGACACAACATGCATGCCAGCTCTGGGACACATCACTCTTCTCTGCTCCGCCCTTGAGCTCGGATTCGCGCCTCTTCGCCTCACCGGCGTACTAGGCCCCTCACTCATTCTTGTGCCGACGCAACATTCTGTTCCGTTCCGCCTGCCGTTTCTCCTATGTTCCATCCATGCCATGCCATTGCCATGCCACACCATGAGATCCTGCTGTTTTGCTTTTTTTCTTGCTGCTTCTCTTTTCCCTTGTTGCAGTGAGGAGGGCTCGACTGAGTGTGCGGCATGCCCTGTGGACCACTACTCACAGTGAGTCCTCTTGAATGGTCGTATTCTCGACCCAGTGAGTGCCAGTGATGGTGATGACTGGCGGGCAAGTAATGCAGTGCCGTGCCGTTCTGCTGCTGCAGTCACAAGGGCTCCACTGAGTGTGCGCTATGCCCTGTGGAGTGGACCACTACTCACGGTGAGTCCTCTTCAAAGGCTGAATTGTCATACCATGCACTGATGACCCACTATCCTCTCAGCCCTCCCCTCTCTCATCCATCACACCACACACATGCCGTCCCCATCTATCACCCCATCCATCCATACCACACCAGGGAGGCATGGCCGGAGTGCAAGCCATGCAGTGCAGATGGGTTGACACCAGCCATCACACCACACACATGCCGCCCCCATCTATCACAGCACACCACACCACACACATGCCGGCCCCATCTGTCACAGCACACCACACCACACACATGCCGGCCCCATCTGTCACAGCACACCACACCACACACATGCCGGCCCCATCTATCACAGCACACCACACCACACACATGCCGGCCCCATCTATCACAGCACACCACACCACACATATGCCGGCCCCATCTGTCACACCACACCACACACATGCCGGCTTAGTGGCAAAAGACGCATCCTGCGTCTAAGACGAGCGCGTCCAGACGCAGCGTCTTAGACGCAGGATGCATGATGTGGGCCTTTGAGACACAGCAAAAGACGCAGGCCCGGGCAGGGCAAAAAAAACCCCCAGGCAGCCAAAAAAACACGTTATAGGGCATGGGAAGGGGGGGGAGGGCGACGTATCACACATGTGAGGCAAAAAGATAGCTATGGAGCGAAAGGTAGCACTATGGAGCGAAAGGTAGCTAAACCCTCAAGGGTTTACGAAGGAGAATTGTGTGTGGGCTGTTTTTGCTGGTCGAAATGGGTCTGGGGGGTCGAGATTTCGCGACATTGACATTCGCGTCGAAATCGCGAATGTCAACTTCGCGATCGGGAAAAAAAAAAAAACAAAAATTCCGGTCAGCCCGAAAAAAAAATCTGCCGTGCGTCCTGCGTCTGGACGCGCGTCCAGCGTCCCTGCGTCCGGACGCTGCGTCCAGACGCAGGACGCATGACGCGCCCAGCGTCTTTTGCCACTTAGCATGCCGGCCCCATCTGTCACAGCACACCACACACATGCCGGCCCCATCTGTCACCCCATCCATCCATACGACACCAGGGAGGCACGGCCGGAGTGCAAACCATGCAGCGCTGATGAGTTGACTACTGAGGTGGGCAGTGTATGCATAACACCACGCACATGCCATTCTTATCCATCATCCTCCCATCCATCCACCCATATCACACCAGGGAGGGCTGGCCGGAGTGCAAGCCATGCAGTGCTGAGGAGTATGCACAGTCGCCCCCTCGAGCCAACTGCACTGCCAGGCCCTGTACGTGCACTGGGTGTCATCAATCAGTGTGACTATAGTCCTGAGTCGACTCAGCAGTTCACCATGTTTTCCCACCGACAGTGCAAGCCATGCAGTGCTGCAGAGTATGCGCAGTCGCCCCCTCGAGCCAACTGCGCTGCCAGGCTTCGTACTTGTGCTGCCAGGCTTCGTACTTGTGCTGCCAGGCTTCGTACTTGTGCTGCCCCGCAACTCCTTTCCCTGCGCTTCTCCTTGCTCTCTCGCACTTCTTTCCCTGCGCTTCTCCTTGCTCTCTCGCACTTCTTTCCCTGCGCTTCTCCTTGCTCTCTCGCACTTCTTTCCCTGCGCTTCTCCTTGCTCTCTCGCACTTCTTTCCCTGCGCTTCTCCTTGCTCTCTCGCACTTCTTTCCCTGCGCTTCTCCTTGCTCTCTCGCACTTCTTTCCCTGCGCTTCTCCTGCTCTCTCGCACTTCTTTCCCTGCGCTTCTCCTTGCTCTCTCCCCCTGCGCTCTCCTCACCCCCCCACTCCGCTCTCCCTGAGCCTTCTGCTGCCCCCTTACATCCTATAGTGCAACATAGCTTACATCTTCCCTTTCCCTTCCCTACACCCTTTTCTGATCTACAACTCGCCAGCATGCAACGTGACAACGGATGCCGCCCCTACCTATGGCAACTGTAGCGCAGTGGACAACCAGAGAATCAAGGTGACATGTTGCACCTACCTCTCTCACACACCCTCACTCACTCATACGTTCTCGCTCACTCGCTTACACGCCCTCACTCACTCCCTCACTCCCCTCCCCCTCGACTCCTGGTCATGACTCACCCTGTCATCTGCCTGCATGCATCTCCCATGCTTGCAAGTTGCAACCGACCAATGCCGTCCCATCCCATAGCCTTGCTGCGCCTCCTTCCCCCCACCCCCCCTCCAATCACCCCACCATTCCCCCGCCCATTCCCCCTCGTCACCCTCCAGACGTGAGCATGGCTTGCTCTGCACATCTGCATAGCCCTCTCGTGCTTGCATTTCTGCCCTCCCCATGCCATCCCCATTCCCTTCCCAACCCATGCACACACCTCTGCCCGCCAATTCGTCCCACTAACCTGGCCATTGCTCACTCCACACATCTGTTTGCCCCCTTCTCCCTCATTTCACTTCAATACATTTCCTTCCACCCACTCCATCCCCTACCACTTCCCCCTCCTTCCCTTCCCGCCCCCTCCTTCCCCCTTCCTCTCTCATGTTTAATCACTTATACTCCCCCTTCCCCCGCCCTTTTCCACCTATCCCCTCGTCTCCCTTGTACAGACCTGGGCATGGCTCACTCCCCACCCCACATCTGCACCCCTCTTTCATTCATTCGCCTCACATGATTTCCCCCAACTCCACTCTTCTTCCTTTCCCCCACCCCCACCACCCTCTCCTTCAGACCTGGGCATGGCTCACTCCCCACATCTGTGCGCCCCTCTCAGAGGACGAGGACCTTCCTGCCGACACCCACGAGCCGTGCCGTGAGTGCCATGCCATGGTGTGGATGGGCAGTGTGTTGGCATCTGAGTGTGAGTGCATGCATGATTGCTGTCTGTGTGAGCGAATGCTAGGAGCATGCTGTCTAAGTCACTCCTTCCAACATCTGTGCACTTTCTCAGCGGGCATCGACCTTCCTGCTGACACCCACAAGCCGTGCTGTGAATGCAATGCTGTTGATGCCTCGTGGATAGATAGATGGACAGTGTTTGGATACATGGTGTGAAATTGTCGTCGTCTTGTGTGGCTGCTTGCAGGCATGCCGGCGATGATGATGGTAATGATGGTAATGATGGTAATGATGCTGATTATGATGGTGTGTGGCTGTGATCTTTTGAGGCGCCTCAAAATTTGATGCTGATTAATTATGATGGAGCGTGGCTGTGGTCTTCATGAACATGTGTGCGCTTCTCCTCCCTTCCCATGCCTCTCCTTCTCCTCGCATGCTCCCTCCACCCCAACCACAGCGCCATGCCCCTCGGGTCAATACGCTGTGGAGGACAGCACCACTCGCACCAGGCTCTGCCACTTCTGCCCACCGGTGAGCCTGCCTGCGTGCCAGACGTGGTGCAGCGTGGTGTAGTGGTGTGATATGATGTGTGGATGGTGTAGTGTGGTGTGGTGTGGTGTGCCTGCCACAAGTACCCCCCAGGGGAGGTGGCAGTGAAGGCCCCTCACCATGGACCACTTTGAACTCCTTTTCACCACACACTTTCTATATCCACCTCTCCCTCCCGCGCCCTCAAACCCAAGACCTTGCACGCAACGCCCTAGCCTCTCCCACAGACAAGGCCTGCCACAAGTGTCCCCCGGGGGAGGTGGCAGTGAACGTGCTCACCATGGACCAATATGAGCGCTGCTACTTTCCAAATCGCCCTTCCCACTCCTTCCCCTCACCCCGTCCCACACACCGTCATTTCCAATCCCAGGCTCTGGCACGCAACGCTTCCACCTCCTCGGAAAACAAACCATGCCGCAACTGTTCTCCGGGGGAGGTGGCAGTCAAGGCGCTCACCATGGACCACTTTGAGCTGCATCCTTCCTTCCACCACACCCTTCCTACTCCTTCCCCCGACCCCGTCCCGCACACTTGTCCAACCACAGGGCCTGGCTCGCAATGCCACTAGCTCCCCAACGGATAAAGCCTGCCGCAAGTGTCCCCCAGGGGAAGTAGCAGTGAAGGCCCTCACCATGGACCACTTTGAGCTGCACCGGGGGAAGCTTCCTGACGGCTTCGTGACCGGGTGCAGCGGGGACTGCGGTTCACTGGGGTGGAGAGTGGTGAACGGGAAGCTGGACTCTGGCAGTAACCATGGCAAGAGTGCCTCTGTAAGATGTGACTGTAAAGAGAAGTACCATCTTTTTTCTTACAAGCTGCTTATTCTCACCTTTTTTACCCGTTTTGGATGTTTCGCTGCTGCGTTGCACCGCATTGGACCATCTAGCTCCGGCTCTTCCTCCTTCCATCACCTTCCCCCCTTTTTCTCAACCCTTCCCCCTTCCCCACCAGGTGTGGCTATCTATGACGTGAGCATGGCAGTGGATGGGCACGTCACATTCCCCTAGGACGTGGACATACCAGGGAGGGACCTGCAGCGAGGGCCGCTCTTTGCTCTTGATTCCCCTTCTCTCCTCCCCTCCTCTCGTACCGTCCTCCTGAACCCACCAGGTGTGGCTGTCCTACGATGTGAGCATGGCAGTGGATGGGCACGTCACATTCGCCTGCGATGTGCACATACTGCAGGGGGACCTGCAGCGAGGGCTCTTCTCTGCTCTGTGCACATACCGCTTGAGGGGGGAGGGACCTGGAGAGGCAGCTGCCCCTCGCCCTTTCTTTGACTCGCATCACCTTCTTTTCCGCCTCCTCCCTCGTCCCCTTCAGGTGTGGCTGTCCTACGATGTCAGCATGGCAGTGGACGGGCACATCACATTCGCCTATGACGTGGACATTCCTCGGGGGGACCTGCAGAGAGGATTGTTCTTCTACGTGGATGACCAGCTGGTGCTGAACATTGAGGTGAGTTCTCTGCTGTGTGTGGGTTGGGTTGTTACTATGTTGACTCGGATGCGAATTGGTGGGCCAACCCACTGCAATAACAGCAAGCCACCTGCAGCGACGGCTCTTCTTCTACGTGGATGACCAGCTGGTGCTGAACATCGAGGTGAGTTGAGTTGTGGGTTATGATCGTGTTCACTCAGATGCAATATAGCTTAAGGGGCAACCCACCGCAACACTAGCAGCAAGCCACCTAGAGAGAGGACTCTTCCTCTACGTGGATGATCAGCTGGTGCTGAACATCGAGGTGAGGGGGGCATGGGTTGCTAACTTGCTATGTACTGACTCACATGCGCTCTGCTCAGCACCGCTCAGCACTGCTCAGCACTGCTCAGCACTGCTCAGCACTGCTCAGCACTGCAACGTGTGATGCGACCCATAGCAGAGAAAGAGGACCCAAGATAACAAGGTCTCTCTCTTGTACGTACATTGATGAGCAGATGGTGGTGAGCATTGAGGTGAGCTTTGAGGCGCCTCAAAACTCGCAACAAAGTCTCTCTCTTGTACGTCAAGAAATGAGCAGCTGGTGGTGAACACTGAGAAACGTGTTGGTGTGGTGGTAGTACAGACAGAGAGGGATCGCCCACTTCAACTATTGCATTGAGAGGGCTCCTCTTTATTCTCTTCCCCATTGCAGGACAAGGCGGGTGAAGGCTCAGTGCTTGCTAGCCCCTCTGCAGGTGGCTTGCTGCTAGGCTGCTAGTCATTGCATGCAGTTGCCAGCCCCTTCCTCCAGATCGCATTCCCATCATCTTTATCCTCTTATCATCTTCATCCTCTTTATTATCTTCTCCACTGCAGGACGAGGCGGGTGACCGCTCAGAGCCGGCCGGCCCGACAACAAGCTTTGAGGCACCTCAAATCAAAACTCGCTTTTTGATGCGTTTCAAAAGCGCCTGTCCTCTTTATCCAATCCTCACTCCCATGGCAGGACGAGCAGGGTGCCGGCTCGGCGCCGGCCGGCCCGACAACCAGCGACACGTGGCCGCTGCCAGCTGGCAACCACAGTCTGATGTGGATCTGGGTCACGCTCAACGCTGACAAGGCGATCGCCAGGCGGGACTCCGCAGAGATCCTGGACATAACCGTGTGGGGCAGCACTGTGGGGGGCGCGCCTGCCTGTGTGCCCATTCCCCCTGGCACAGCTCCGGATGCCGCCACCCTCACCTGGAAGGCCTGTCCTCCTGGTAGGTTCTTGTAACACCCTATGCCTCTTGTAGGCTCCTCTCCTCCTTCTGGATATCACCGTGGGGGGCAGCACTGTGGGGGGTGCGCCTGCCTGTGTGCCCATTCCGCCTGGCACTGCCCCTGACCCACCACCCTCACCTGGAAGGCCTGTCCCTGTGGTATGTCCATCTAACTAGTAGGAGGGGCGCCTGTCTGTAACAGGTCAGGAGATTTCTCAAAAGGAACAGACCCCGACCCCACCACCCTCACCTGGAAGCCCTGTCCCCATATTCCCCTCTCCCGTTCCCCCTCCCCAACCAACCCCCTCCACCCACAAGAGAGGGTGGAACCAGCAATTCGTCATTTAAACTTTAACATTTTTTAGATAGACTGTCCAGCTTCGTCAACGCTGCATGGCTGGCTGTTCGCCAGCAATTCTTGAAGGAGCGTTAAAACTCACGACGAATCAAAACAGCGGCATTTCTTGGTTGGTGCGGTTGAAATTTCAGCGCTTCTATCCGAATGCTCCACGCCTTTAATAATGCGAAGCTAATTGTGACCATGTCTGTGATTGCTATTCAATTGTGACTGTTGAGCAGGAGAGTACAGCGAGGGATCGGGTCTGCCTTGTGTCAAATGCCCTGCCAATACTTTCAACCCAAGACCCAAGGTAATCCCGCTGCTCTCCTTCCTCCCTGCTCATTCTCCATCAAGTTTCCCTTCCTCCCCTGCGGCCCTGGCAAAACATGCTGCTTTCTATGTCCTTGTCCCACTCATCCCGCTTTTCCTTTCTGCTTCGCTTGCCCCTTTCCCCTTTCACCTTCCCCCTTTCCCGTTCCAATTTCCCCTTCCCCACCGGGGCACCCACTCCTCTTGCCTCCCCGGTCCCGGCACCTCGTCCCTCCCAGGCAGCACAGCTTGTATCCATGTGCCTGCCCCATTCATCCCCATCCCATTCCCTATCTCTTTCCCCTTTTCCCTTCCCCACCAGGGAACCCACTCCTCTTGCCTCCCCGGTCCCGGCACCTCGTCCCTCCCAGGCAGCACAGCTTGTATCCATGTGCCTGCCCCATTCATCCCCATCCCATTCCCTATCTCTTTCCCCTTTTCCCTTCCCCACCAGGGCACCCACTCCTCGTGCCTCCCCTGTGGCCCCAGCACCACGTCCCTCCCAGGCAGCACAGCTTGTATCCATGTGCCTGCCCCATTCATCCCCATCCCATTCCCTATCTCTTTCCCCTTTTCCCTTCCCCACCAGGGCACCCACTCCTCCTGCCTCCTCTGTGGCCCCGGCACCTCGTCCCTCCCAGGCAGCACAGCTTGTATCCATGTGCCTGCCCCATTCATCCCCATCCCATTCCCTATCTCTTTCCCCTTTTCCCTTCCCGACCAGGGCACCCACTCCTCCTGCCTCCTCTGTGGCCCCGGCACCTCGTCCCTCCCAGGCAGCACAGCTTGTATCCATGTCCCTGCCCCATTCATCCCCATCCCATTCCCTATCTCTTTCCCCTTTTCCCTTCCCCACCAGGGCACCCACTCCTCCTGCCTCCTCTGTGGCCCCGGCACCTCGTCCCTCCCAGGCAGCACAGCTTGTATCCATGTGCCTGCCCCATTCATCCCCATCCCATTCCCTATCTCTTTCCCCTTTTCCCTTCCCCACCAGGGCACCCACTCCTCCTGCCTCCTCTGTGGCCCCGGCACCTCGTCCCTCCCAGGCAGCACAGCTTGCACTGTTGGTGACGTCACTGTTCCCTCCTCCTTCTGCACCTTTCTAATAGCTTCCGATCCTACCACCCCCAGCAGCAGCAGCAGCAGCACCACCACCACCACCACCAGCACAAGTGAAACTAATGCTTACACCACCACCAACACTACCGCCACCACAAGCACCCCCTCCCCCTCCATTCCATCCGCCTCCTCCCCTCCAATCGTCTACGATCTCTCCCCGATCTCCCGCGTCCATCCTGGCCGCATGTTCGGGCCGATCTTCGAGGATCCAACGGCTGCGGATCGCCAGCACGGGCCACTGTACTTTGTGTCTGTGTGTGCTGCACCTGCAGGGGGCACAGAGGGCGAAGGAGAGGGAGGAGAGCACACAGAAGAAGGGCAGGGTACGAAGGGAGGGGGTGCTGGAGAGGAAAATGAGGGGAAGCAGGGGAAGTGGAGGGTGATGGAGTGTACTGATCCTGAAGGGAAGCCTATAGCGACCATGGCATGCCGGGTGAGTCTGAATAAGAGAGAGGAAGGGGAATAAGGAAGGGAAGAGAAAGAGAGGAAAAGGGGGAATGTGAGGGGTGGTGGAGCATATGGATGCAGAAGGGAAGCCGATAGCTACCATGGCGTGTCGGGTGAGTCTTTAATGAGAGAGAAGAGAGGAGGAGAGGGAGGACAGCAAAGGAGTGGGGGAAGAGAGGAAGAGGGTGAAGGGAGGGGGAGTGGAAAGGCAAATGAAGTGTTGAAACTTGGAGGCGACCATGGTGTGTTGTTTCTATGTGAATCCTCCGGTGAATCCTCCGGCGAATTCTCAGGTGAATTTTCAGGTGAACCCTCAGGTGATGCGGGACGAGAAGCACCAAGCACATGTAACCTCCCTTCATTTCCGTCTCCATTCCTTCCCCCCTGCTCTAGTACGCTCAGGTGAATCCCCAGGACCCAGGTGACACTGGAAAAAACACATAGAATAGCAATAGTGTGCCCTGCCTTCATTCTGCTCTTCCCGCCCTCCTCCCTCTGTTTCGCTCAGGTGAATCCTCAGGTGATGCTGGACGAGCAACACAGAGGATCCCACAGTCTAGGCGACCGGGTCTCCCTCTTCCCCTTCTACCACCCCGCCACTGGAACGGACACCCCCTCCCACTCTCCTTCTGCCACCGCTCCCTTCCCAGACCCCCTCTTGGCACGAAGGGGGCTGGTGATGGTGCTGGAAGGGGAAAGATGCCCCTTTTCCATGCAGGGGGGAGGGGGGGAGCAGAGTAGGTGGGGGATGGGGGGAGATGCGGAGAAGGGGAAGGGGAAGGGGAAGGGGAAAGGGGAGGGTGGGGAGGAGAAGTATGGACGGCTGACGCTTACGTTCATATGTGATCCGAATGCAGGTGAGAGAAAAGGAGGAGCGTGGCGAGTGTGTGAGACTAGGAGGAGGGAAAGTAGCAGCACAGAGCAGCGCACTTGTCCCCACTAAAATACCCTCGTTATGCAATGTGCGTTTTTTGAGTCGACTCAATGTGTGTTATCGCTTTTAGATTTTGAGACGTCTCAAAACTAGATTGGAGTCTCTTTTGAGGTTTCTCAGTAGTGCCATACCCTGTGTGCGCTCATCATGTGGCACTTACTCATCCTTTGCCCAAACTGACTGACTGAGAAAACTCTGTCAATCATCCAGTGGCTAGCTCAGTCACTTTGAGCTTCTCTGTGGCAACCTCTGTGTGCCAAACCCCGTGAGGTGAGGTGAGGTGAGGTGAGGTGAGGTGAGGTGAGGTGAGGTGAGGTGAGGTGATGTGATGTGATGTGAGGTGAGGTGATGTGAGGTGAGGTGATGTGAGGTGAGGTGAGGTGATGTGAGGTGATGTGAGGTGATGTGATGTGAGGTGAGGTGCGGTGAGGTGATGTGATGTGAGGTGATGTGAGGTGAGGTGAGGCGATGTGAGGTGATGTGAGGTGATGTGATGTGAGGTAATGTGAGGTGATGTGATGTGAGGTGATGTGATGTGAGGTGATGTGAGGTGATGTGAGGTGAGGTACCCCCCCCAGCACCTCACGTCACATCTCAGTTTTGCCCCACCCCTGGCTCCTTGCACTCCCTCCTTTGTGGCCCCACTTTGGCCATTATCCTCCCCTTCCCTCACAGGCATCGGCCATCCCTCCCCCTGGACAGAAGAAGGCAGGCGGGCAGCATTCAACACATCCCTCCCCTTCCCGGCCTGGACCAAGCGGGGGGGCGACCCAGTCCCCGTCACACAGGGGGGAGGCGACGGGGTGGTTCCGGGGTGTGCGTATGAGCTGGCGTGGTACAGTGCGTATGCGTGCCCTCTGTGCTCAGAGGAAGATGTGGAGGAGGTACCAGTGGCAGACTGCCACAACAACAAGCGAGCGACTTACAAGTACCGCCATCCAAGGGTGAGTGTGAGTCTGAATTTGTATAACCCTAGCAGTCAGCAAGGGAGAGATTGAGGCAGTGGGTTGGTTGGTGAGGGGGTGGTGCTGGGGTGTGCATATGAGCTGGCGTGGTACAGTGCGTATGCTTGCCCTCTGTGCTCTGAAGAAGACGTGGAGGAGGTACCAGTGGCAGACTGCCACAACAACAAGCGAGCGACTTACAAGTACCGGCATCCAAGGGTGAGTGGCGGGTTGGTGCCGGGGTGTGCATATGAGCTGGCGTGGTATGGTGCCTATGCGTGCCCTCTGTGCTCAGAGGAAGATGTGGAGGAGGTGCCAGTGGGAGACTGCCACAAGAACAAGTGGGCAACCTTCAAATATCCCCATCCACGGGTGAGTGTGAGTGTGGTGCATCATACCAGGCATTCAGGAGGGGAGAGAGAGAGAGAGGAGGCAGGGTGGTGGTAGCAGGGGGGTATGCACTGTCACCAAGGCACTTAACCATTCGTTTATTCCCTCATCACCCCTCAATACCACGCCTCCCCGCATCACCCTCCCCCACTCACTTCTCTCCTCCTCCCTACCTCCTCTCTCTTTTCCCCCATTCCCGTCTCTCACCAGGTGTGTCAGCCCAATGCCCAGGCCCCTCTTCCTCCCGACCAGCTGTGCTCTCCATGTACTGCAGACGACTACAGTAGCTTCGAGCAAATCTGCACCTCCTCTCTCCGCCTCTCACAACTCCCTCTCTCCTCTATCTCCTCTCTCTCTCCTGCCCACATCCCTTCTTCCACCAGGTGTGTCAGCCCAATGCCCAGGCCCCTCTTCCTCCCGACCAGCTATGCTCCCCGTGCACTGCAGACGACTACAGTAGCTTCGAGCAAAGCTGCACCGATAGCGCGGGTAGCCACAACGTCTCCTACTCCTGGAACCTGCCCAAAAACTGCAGCGAGAACCTGCCCGGAACAGTGAAACTGCCCGAAAATATCATTGTTGGAGAGTGCCTGTTCCAGGTTCGTTACATCCCGGCCAAATACCTCGCTCCGAAATACATAATAATCACAGCGGCTGGAGCTACTGTGATTGTGATGCTGGCAGTTATGTCGGTGGTAACCTGGCTACGCAGCAGGAGAGTGTATTCTATGTACTCGCAGCTGGTGGCAGAGGAAGTGCAGCTGGAGGCAGAACTGGCAGCCATGGCTGAGGAGGCAGACCAGGAGAGGGAGGACATGCTTTTTAATCGAGACCCTAGCTACCCATCATAACGTGCATGATTTGTGACGAGGATAAGGCTTACGCAAGGCACTCGCAGCTAGAGGCAGAGACACCAGACTAAACACCAACCCGAGAGGTTCTGTTCTGTGATTGTTGTGACTCGTGCAACTGTGGCTCTTTATCAACGAGACCAGAGTCACCAGACGAGACCACCAAGCCTTTGTGCATCTCTACGAACATCCTCTTGCATTACTCCCATGATCCCATCCCATCTTGAATTACTCGTTGCTGTTGTTACCAACCAACTGCTTTGCGCACATAGTGCAAGTTTCTCAAAAGTTCCTCCCAGCGTGGATGATTGATTGATATCATCAACACTTCTCATTTGTGGATTTATTTGTAGGTCTCCCTTTCTGGTTGATTGCAACACATTACGCCTCCTTTCATGAGACAAGTTTGTAGGAATATCGCCCAACTCAAATTCCAGCTCATGCACTCCTTCTGAAACTCCACTCTACTGTACACCTGACACCACCATGTCACTTCACATGCACCTTGCAAATATCCTCATAGTCAATCCTCGGAATCACCCTCCCATCGAACGCGCCCTTTTGAATTTCCACCTTAGCACAAAACTTCTCCGTGTCAACCCCCACCAGCTTTGCCAGGCTACCCCTGTACGCCCCATTCACAACCCTCACCACCCCTCCAATCTGCGGCAGCACTGTTTCCAACTCCTCCTGATCCACCTTTAGCACATGCCCTTCCTCCAGAGTCTTAGAGCGTATTCCTATCCTCGTATCAAGAAAACCTCATATCAACCTCCCACTGAAAATTCCCCTAAACCCAAAACCTCTCGCTACTTTTACCAGGCAAAAAGTACAATCTTGATATGAGGTTTTCTTGATACGAGGATAGGAATACGCTCTTAATCTCACCAACGTATCTATCAATCACACGCAGCACCACGCCTTTCTGCTTGTAATACCCTTTCTCCTTGAGCGCTTTACTCAAAATCTTCACCACAATGCCCTCTGTAAGCCAGTAGTCCTTCCGATTCGCCCTCTCCTTTGCCCTCTCCTGCTCTTCCATCAACGCTGCAAGGGTTCCCCCGCCAGCTCTGCCACCACCTGATTTAGACCCTCCTTTATCCCCATCCTCACCACCTCGCCTCGCCCTTTTCCCCCCCACAACCCCATCACCATCCCCATCAGCATCATCGTATTCCTCTTCACCAAACACCGCTGCTCCTGTTTTACTCTCAACCTGCAAACCACCACCAACGCCACCTGCTCCTGCTGCTGCGGCGGCGGAAGCGCTGCTCCCTCCTGCCTTCTGACTCCCACCTGCCTTCTGTGTTCCAGAAGCCCCACTCCCTCCGCCTCCTCCCCCCAGACCTCCGAACGCGAACGCGATTTTCTCTCCCGTGTTAGGATCGCGCTGCAGAACCTTCTTCTCCGGATCCGCATCCTTTTCCTCCGCATCCTCCGGCTGCTGCTGCTTCAATCTCGCCCGTTCGATCTGATCCTGAATCTCCTTCTCGTGTCGCTCCTCCCCCACCAGCTCCGCGCGTTCCCGTTTCTTCTTCTGCCCTTCCTTGAACAGCGTCTCCGGCTCGCGATCGATGTACGAGATGAACCAGCCCTTGGGAGTGTCCTCGACTTTGCAGAGACCTTCTCTGCCGAGATGCTTGACGAATTCCGTTAACGTCAGCCACTTGGTGGAGTTCATGTGCACGTGGTGCCGGTCCGCGATGTACTCGTTATAAGCCACTGTCGCGGCCACGCGACTGAACCTGTGACTGCGTCGAATGTGCTCCATGAAAGTTTTCTCGAACTCCTCGGAATAGCCTCCCACGAATCGCTCCGGGTTCATGCCGAAAACCTGCATCTGCCGTTGATGGCCTTCCGACATGCAATGGCATTTAAAGCCATTCTCGTCGCGGCACTGCTTCTGACACATCTGGCAGTACCATCGCAGCTTCTGCAATCCCTTGGCTTTAATTCGGTTCGCGATGGCCTTCGGAGTAAGAAATCCGTTCTTACCCATGGCTCCCTACCTCGCAGAATTAGACCAGTTGCCTTTTCTTGACGGTCCCTTAGCTTGATTGGTGGTATGGAGAAGACGCACTCTTTATCCTATTGCGGAATAAGTCGTGCAGCGATGAAAGAGTGCGAGCGGCAATGGTGTCGACGCAATAAAGATGCGACAGGTGTATCAGTTTCGTGTTTGCACACTAAGAGATCTTTACACGGTGTACAGACAGGCGAGGAATGAGGGTGGTAGGGGGTGAAGCAACTATGTGCGTCTGAGATCAAATTAGCCTGCTTGAATGGATTACACCAGGGCTTGTTCTACGAGCGGTGGATTACAAAATGGTACCAGGCTCTTGGTGATGCGACTTGAGCTATGTTCCGTAGAATGACACCTTGTTGACCTCAAGCACCTCTGCTCAAATGTGAACACGAACTTCTCACATGCCATCTCAAATGCGAATGTGACATTCTTCCACCCATTCTCCACCTGGTTCGATTCAAGCTTTCAACCAGTAACGCAGCACGGCGAAGTTACCAGCTGTCGCGAGAATCTAGCGATGTTTCGCAAGCAATTGGAAGAGCTGCGAAATGTTTATTCAGTAACGCATAGCTTGCTTTGCCTTCAGCCAGCTTCACCAGCTTCATGAAGCCCAAGTGTTGTTGCACATGGCGAGCTAGGAGCAGCTGGGGGACCGCGAAACTTGTACCTTGGGAAAACCTCGAAAAACAATACAAGCTTCAAGAGCGGTCGAAATCCTACAAAAGAACCACAATCTCTGAACATACTACTCGCCTTTCCGCAGCGGCTATGCGCGCCGAGCCTGGCGATCCAGGATCGCAAAGCATCGAAAGCGACGATAAACGAATCACCGCGACTACCAGCGCGGCTGGTGCTTCTGATGGCGGTGGTTCCGTGTTCGTGACGGTGGGTACGACGCGGTTCGACGCGCTGGTTGAAGCGGTGGACAGCCGCGAATGCCGCGCGGCTCTGAAGCAGCGCGGGTTCACATCCGTGGTTGTGCAGCGAGGCCGAGGGACGTACAAACCAGCTGAGGTATGCTCTGCGAGGGATGTTTCCGTGTTTTCACCTCTGAGAGTGTAACAGAGCAGGGCCCTCTCTCGAGCAGCGCAGGTTAACATCCCTGGTGGTGCAGCGAGGACGAGGAACGTACAAACCGGCCGAGGTATGCGCGGGAAGGGATGTGCAAGCCTGCTGAGGCGAGGCGAGGCGAGGGGGGGGGAGGGGAAGGGAGGGTTTTTGTCGCACCGGTGGGTGACACGGGGACGAGGGACATACAAACCGGCCGAGGTATGCGCGGGAAGGAATGTGCAAGCCTGCTGAGGCGAGGGAAGGGTTCCTGTTGGCGCCGCGTTGAAGCATCGCGGCTTGACATCTGTGGTGGTGGTGCAGCGGAGCCAAGGCACGTACAAGTATGCTGAGGTATGAATGGCCTGGATTTCCCACTTCCACACGTTCGCCGCATTCCACACGTTCGCCGCGTTCGCCGCATTCCACACGTTCGCCGCGTTCGCCGCATTCCACACGTTCGCCGCAGTGATTTTTGCCGCAGTGATAAGAAATAGCTGCAGTGTCTTTTACGGAATCTTTGTAGAGCAGCCAAGAACTCCACTCGCACTCCTCCCCTGCTCCTTGTAGCCTTCACAGGGTCTAGGTCGGCTTCACACTCCCCTGCAGCTCCTGCACCTTGAACCTCTGCTTACGTGTCTTGAAGTTGAGCGCCTTGACATCCAAACCTTGAGAGATTTTCTTAAGCCTCTCACTTCTCCTCGGCATCTTTACATCCAACACCTCTCGGGTCTCGTACCCTTCAACGCGTTCATCCTCCTTAAGCACTTGCCCCTTTGCAGTTGCATTCGCCTTTGATCCTTTCACCATGATGTCCCCTTTCACAGCTTCAACTCCCACACACTTCGCATTTACTGCTTCATCTTCAACCACGATCGCTGCTGCAAAAGTGTTGACATCGTCTCCATCTCCACCGTTTACTGCTGCTGCCTCCATGGTCACTATCTCCTCTTCCTGCTTCACTGCTGCCTCCACACTCGCAGCCGTATCATCCGTGTCCTCGCTCTCATCAACCTCAGTAGACTCAGGATCCTCGTAGATCTCATCCTTGTCGTTCATCGCTATCAAGTTCATCTCATAGAACCCGTCACTGAAGTATCCATCGGCATACTTCTCCCACTCAGGACCAAACACTGTAACCTCGCCTTTGTCATAAAATATCTTGCACCCCAAGTCATCAAGCTGTGGCTGACTCATCAAATTCACCTTCAAATCCTCAACCAAGAGTACATTCTCCAGTTTCACCTCTCCATACGGACTTTGCAGCACCACGTCACCCTCTCCTGTCACTGGCAACTTCCCACTGTTACCTTGCAGTATATAATCCTCACTCGACTCCCTCACGTTCTCCATCCAATCTGACCTGAATGTCATGTGACGCGTGCATCCGCTGTCCATGAACCATGTCGTCTTCTCATGATCGTCCGTCTGCCGAACCTCCTTTGGTAAACGCACCACGTTCGCACGATGCGCTCCTCCAAGGATCATATCATCCTCGTTCGCTTCTGCTACATTCGCCTTAGCCGCCACATTCCTCTGCTGCGACGGACCCTTGTAGCTCCTGCTGTTCGGATTGGAGTAGCACTCTGCGGCACGATGCCCATAGCGCCTACAATAATCGCACTTGCCGCCAAAAACTCGTTTATGCTGCCACTCCGCTCCCTCATTTTCTCCTTTATCGTTCTCCATCGCTTTGCCCTTGTAGTTTCTGCTTCGCGGGTTTTCGTAGCAGTTTATCGCCTTATGCCCCCTTTTTCCACACTGGTAGCACGCTCCAAACGCCTTCATTGCATTCACCATAGCCGGCCTTTCCTCGTCGAATTCCTTAGCTGCTGCTGCCGCTTTCTTTTTCCTCATCTCCTTCATCGTCTCAAGCGACTGTAGAATCTCCTGCAGCTTCGTCAAACTCTCCGGCGGTTGGTACGTAAACATACCGATGTCGGATTCCCACTCTTTAGGAAGGTCTTGGATGATATAGTCAATCATCTCATGCTCCGTCTCCGCGGCTCCCATCACCCGCAAATCGTCGTTGTAGTTTTTCGCCCTGTTGATGTAGGTGATGATTTTCTCGCCTTTCTCCATGCTCAGCATCAGCAGCTGCTTCCTGATCGCCTTCTTGTTGACATCGTTGGTGCCCATGTACGTGGACTCCAGGTACTCCCACGCTTTCTGTGCAGAGTTCAGCTCCCCTGCAAACTGGTCCAAATCCACCGCGATTCCATCGGCAACTGAGTGACAAAGCTGAAAGAACGCTTGCTTACTTTGTTTTTTGAACGCCGCTATTTTCTCCTTCGTATCCGTCGTGGAAGGCGCAACTCCCTCCATCGTCTCCTCGTCGGGACGGTAGTACGGCAAGAGGTCAACCTCCTCTGCCCTCCGAATAAACTTCTTCCGCCACACGTTGTAGTTGCTTCCGTTGAAGCGCTGGGCTTCACTGAGCCCGATCGTCGGTTTCGCCACCAATCGGCCACTCGCAAGGGCCTCGAGAAGAGCCTTCAACTGCGGGTCTCCAAGACTCACACTGGAACCCGAACTCGCCTCGTCTCCCATAGCGTAGGCGTGAACGACTCCTCTTCTCCACTAATTTCACTTAGCGCACCAAGTGAATTTACGACGACCGACGCGACCGTTCGCCAAGCTCTGATACCAGTTCTTAGGATCGTAAACACCTTAGTCGGCAATAGTCTACTTGCTATTGCTTATCGTGTTCTCCACGATCTCCCAAATCCAACGATATGCGCAGCTCTGCTTGAAGTTGTCAATACACACTTCAGCAATTTTCAGAATCTCCAAGTTATGTTTTCCAGAATGAGTACAAGCAGTTTTATAGTCAAGCAAGTCACAAAATGCGATTCGTAACTTCACTTGTTTCCCAAGTAACCGCGTGCGCCTCGTTTCACCCCGAGTCGCACACGGAACCGAACCGAATTCGGTGAACACTCCTCAAGACCGAATCTGGAACCTTCTCGAACGCGCCTTGGTCTCAGACCACAATTTCCCCCGTCGATCTCATCCTCGATGCTTCTCCTTCTCTCTTCCTCCATTTCTTTGGTTCCTTCTCGATTTCTCTCCCGCTTCTCACGCCGTAGGCTGATTTCCACCGTTTCACCTAGAATCATCCACGCGCTTCCATTTCGCCGTCATTCCGCCGTCGTAGAGACTTTCGCCATAGGTTCCGTGGTTGGGCGAACCAACCCTAACACGCCGCATTCCACACGTTCGCCGCGTTCGCCGCATTCCACACGTTCGCCGCGTTCGCCGCATTCCACACGTTCGCCGCAGTGATTTTTGCCGCAGTGATAAGAAATAGCTGCAGTGTCTTTTACGGAATCTTTGTAGAGCAGCCAAGAATCCGAACAGTGTGGTTTCACCTAAATCGTGGTGCAGCGAGGGCGAGGGAACTCAGGTGTGGCAGTAACGAGTTTTTTCAGCGTGGATTTTGTGTGTGTGTGTGTGTGCGCGCGCGCGTGCGTGCGTGCGTGCGTGCGTGCGTGCGTGCGTGCGCGCGTGCATGCTGTTTTTTTTTTTTTCGTTTTTTTGTGATTTGTGTGGTGCATCTGTTACTTTCCTCCGTGTGTTGTGCCAAGATGGCCGTTCGACCTTGACAGCAGGGGCGTGACTGTAGGGTACACAGATGTGACTCTAACGAGTTTGAGCGTGATCTCTGTTATTTCTGTGGTGTCTCTTCTTCGCTCCTCGTTGTAGTGTGTCAAGATGGCAGGGCGACCTTGACAGCGCAGGCGTGACTGTAAGGTGCACGGATGTGACTGTAACGAGTTTGAATGGATTTTCTATGATAACTGTGGTGCCTCCTTTGTGCTCCTTGCTGTGTGTCAAGATGACAGGGCGACCCTGACAGCAGGGGAGTGACAGTAAGCAAGAGTCGAGCGGGATTGCTGTGTGTCAAGAGTCGAGCGGGATTGCTGTGTGTCAAGAGTCGATCTCGTGATTGTTGTGATTGTTGTGATTGTTGTGATTGTTGTGATTGTTGTGTTTTTAATGGTGCCTCCCTTGTGCTCCTCGTTCTCGCTGTGTGTCAAGATGGCAGGGCGACCCTGACAGCACGGGTGTGGCTGTAACGAGCTTCGAGTTCGCTCCCTCCATGGCACCCTATATCAAACAAGCATCCCTGGTTATAAGCCACGCAGGTAAGCTCGCTTACTTGCACTAAATGCCGTACAGGCAGTCGGAAGAACCACCGTCGTGTTCTTTTATCTGCACGCTACACTGTACTGTTTTGAGGCGCTTCAAAACTAGTCTTTTATCTGCCCGCCCGCTACACTGCACTGTGGTGGTGTCTTTTGAGTCTTCTGCTGTTCATGATCAGTGAAATCATTGGAAATTGTCGAAATAATTGAAATCCTTGGAAATTGTCGAAATAATTGAAATCATTGGAAATTGTCGAAATAATTGAAATCATTGGAAATTGTCAAAATAATTGAAATCATTGGAAGTTCAAACCCAGAGAAAGCTGGCATTGTCGCTGGCTGACAGACAGGCAGGCAGCACCTAGTGTGGTGCAGACCATACTGGTGAGAATGATCCATCCCGCTTCTCCCCCTCTCCCCTCTCACCATTCATGCCTCCCTGCTATGACTCCCCTCCCCTCTTCCTCTCCTCCCTGCCTCCCCTGCTCCCCCTCCCCTCCCCCCCCCCCCCCCCTTCCCCTCTCTCCCTCCTCCTCCTCCTCCTCCTCCTCCTCCTCCTCCTCCTCCTCCTCCTCCTCCTCCTCCTCCTCCTCCTCTTCCTCCTTTTCCCACGTTCTCCCTCCCTCTCCCCTGCTTCCCCACAGGATCGGGCAGCATATTCGAGGCGCTGAGAGCGAGCAAGCCGCTGGTGGTGGTGGTGGTGGTGAACCACCAAGCCCTACCCCCTGCTATGCTGTTCTCTCCCCCTGTTCCCGCGACAGGCTCAGGCAGCATATTCGAGGCGCTGAGAGCAAGCAAGCCGCTGGTGGTGGTGGTGGCAGCACCGGTGACCCTTCCCTCTTCCCCTTCCCCACTTCATGCCCATGCCCCTCACTCTCCGCAGGCTCAGGCAGCATATTCGAGGCGCTGAGAGCAAGCAAGCCGCTGGTGGTGGTGGTGAACGGTAAAGCCCTACCCTCTGTTATGCTTCCCTCACCCCCCATGCCCCTCGCAGGCTCAGGCAGCATATTCGAGGCGCTGAGAGCAAGCAAGCCGCTGGTGGTGGTGGTGAACGGGGCTCTCATGGACAACCACCAGAGAGAGCTCGCAGGGGCGCTCGCAGCCAGGCAGCACCTGGTGCAGGCGGTACCTGAGAGCCTGGTTGCTACAGTGCGGGAGATGAATTTGGATGGACTCGTGCCGTACCCACCACCGGAGGCTGAGAAGTATGCTCAAGCGATAGATGCGCTTCTGGGGTTCTGAGTTAAACCAAAGGGCACCTGGTGCGGGCCACAGCTGCCAGGTGGGCAGCATCTGGTGCAGGCGGTACTCGCCTCACCAGCCTGGCAGCTACAGTAAGGGAGATGGATTTCGAGAAGGGCGCTCGAGTGCTGAATAGAGTGCTTGGGGTTCTTGAGGTGCTTTTAGAAGTGTTGGCAAGTTGGTTGGATGTACTGTACCTTGGGAAAAGTTATTTGTAGAAAGGTTGAGGTACTTACCGGTATGTAGGTTTATGTTGGGTGGGTTTTGGGTGGGTTTTGGGTGGGTTTTGGGTGGGTTTGTCTTCTTGCAACTCATGTACTGGTAATCATATGGTTATACGGTACCTAGCAGCTTCTTTTAGAGGCTGATACAAATAACCGTGGATGATGTTGGAATTGATATAGGGTTACTGCTTAGCGGCATGTACCATTTCCAGGACACTGCATGCCTGCAGCAGCCATGGTACCGTATGCTGCCCAAGCTAAATTGCATAGGAGCAGCAGCAGTGTGTATGATGATGTTGCGAGCACCATGGATGGATGCAATCATTGCACCATGGTATTATCGAGCACAGTACAGTTCAGGTTTATCGGCCCCCTCCTGCACTTTGCGAGTGAATCGCATCAGAAGGGTCTCCACTGATTGGCCGGGACCATGTAGGTCACTGTACGAGGGACGTGTGGAGAGAGGGGAGATGAGAGATGAGAGAGATGTGGGCAGTATCATAGTGCACAGTACAGTTCATGTTTATCAGGCACTCCTGTTGTTTGCGAGTGAATATCATGAGAAAGGACCTTCACTGATTGGCCGGGGCCTTGTAGGTCACTGCCGGGTTGTATGGGGAGAGGGGATGCATGAAGAGAGAGAGAGAAGAGACGTTTGAGTCGAGGGAACGCACGGGGAGAGGGGAGAGAGGAAGAGAGTGAGTGGAGAGATGAGTGATAGTGAGCAGAGGAGGGGGGAATCACAGGGGTGCATGCATACATGTACCACCACACATGCATGCCCTAAGCATGTACACGAGGTAAGGCTCCAGATCTACCAGCGTCCACATGGGCTGCACGCTGAACAGCGCCTGGAAGCAGTGCTCTGCTGTGGCTACTGGCTCTGCATGCCCCATGCCACCCCGCGCCAAGTACCTACTTACAAGAGATAAGGCTCCGAATCCCAAAGAGCCCACATGGGCTGCATGCTGAACAGCGCCTCGAAGCGGTGCTCTGCTGTGGCTGGCAGCTGGTCGCTCCGCAGATACCGCAGCCACATGCTCTGTGCCCCTCGCACCCATCTCCTCTCACACCTTCCCCAACCCGCACTAGGTGCTTCCACCATGCATTCTCACGAGCCCTAGCCCCCTCACACACGTACACGAGGTAGGGCTCAAGATCTGCCAGTGCCCACATGGGCTGCACGTTAAACAGCGCCTGGAAGCGGTGCTCTGCCGTGGATGGCAGCTGGTCACTCGGCAGGAAGCGCATCCACGTGCTCGCAGCTTCTCCTCGCCTGCTCTAGACTCTTTGACCATGCATTCTCACGAGCCCTAGACACCTCACACAGGACACGTACATGAGATAGGGCTCAAGATATGCTAATGCCTACATGGGTTGCACACTGAACAGCGCCTGGAAGCGATGCTCTGCCGTGGCTTGACTACCTCTGTTGCCTTCCACCATGCATACCCCACATGCATGAGGTACGTACACGAGATAAGGCTCCAGATCCCCCAGTGCCCACATGGGCTGCACGTTGAACAGCGCCTGGAAGCAGTGCTCTGCCGTGGCTGGCAGCTGGTCGCTGGGCAGGAAGCGCAGCCATGTGCTCTGTGCCCCTCCTTCCCACCTGTCCCACCTGCCCGACATGCCCCACCTGCCCCACATGCCCCACCTGCCCCACATGCCCCACCTGCCCCACAAGCCTGAGGTACGTACACAAGATAGGGCTCAAGATCCCCTAAAGCCCACATGGGCTGCACGTTGAACAGCGCCTGGAAGCGGTGCTCTGCCGTGGCTGGCAGCTGGTCACTCGGCAGGAAGCGCAGCCACGTGCTCTGCGCCCCTCCCAACGGCTCACACTCCTGCTCCTCCTCCGATTTCCCAGCTACTGACGCTGCTGCTGCCGCCGCCGCTGCTGCTGCTGCCGCTGGTCCCCCCACGTGCTGAAGGATTGCCAGGCCTCTCAGCCACGTGGCGTCGAGTGATTGGGCCATGGCGGGTGGGACCTTGTTCGCCCATGCTTCCATGAAAGCAGAGAGGCGCCAGCGAGTGCCTGGAGAGTTTGCATGGGGAGGTGAAGGGAGCTTGAGGGATGGTGCACATGGGTGGGTTCACAGCGGTCTGAAGTGGTATTGCAATGGCGGGTGGGACCTTCTTCGCCCATGCTTCCATGAATTAAAGCAGAGAGGCGCCAGCGAGTGCCTCGGAGAGGGTTTAAACGGCAGCGAAGGGAGGTATGGTGGTGCACACGGGTTTGAAGGGGCACCTAAATGGTGTAGCAATGGCAGGTGGGACCTGCTTCATCCATGCGTGCATGAAAGCAGAGAGGCGCCAGCGAGTGCCTGGTGTGGAGAGGGCTTGCAAAGAAGCAAGGGGAGGTCTTGAAAGGGATGGAGGGGCATGTGGCAGAGTGGGAAGCACCTTCTTTGCCCATGCTTCCATGAATGCACAGCGGCGCCAGCATGTGCCTGAGAAAGAGTAATAGAAAGAAGCAAAGGGAGGTATGGTGCACACGGGTTGAAGGAGGCATTTAAACAATGCAGCAATGGCAGGCCGGAGGCACCTTTGCCCATGCTTTTATGAATGCAGCGAGGCGCCAGTGAGTGCCAGCAGAGGTGCGTGTGAGAAAAGTGAAGAGATTCGGAGGTCATGTGCATATATTTTGAGGTGAAGTGTAGTGCAGGTGGGGGGCCTCAAAATCCGCGTGCAGTGAGGTGTATTTTGAGGCGCCTCAAAATCCGCGTGCAGTGAGGTGTATTTTGAGGCGCCTCAAAATCCGCGTGCAGTGAGGTGTATTTTGAGGCGCCTCAAAATCCGCGTGCAGTGAGGTGTATTTTGAGGCGCCTCAAAATCCGCGTGCAGTGAGGTGTATTTTGAGGCGCCTCAAAATCCGCGTGCAGTGAGGTGAATTTTGAGGCGCCTCAAAATCCGCGTGCAGTGAGGTGTATTTTGAGGCACCTCAAAATCCGCGTGCAGTGAGGTGTATTTTGAGGCGCCTCAAAATCCGCGTGCAGTGAGGTGTATTTTGAGGCGCCTCAAAATCCGCGTGCAGTGAGGTGTATTTTGAGGCGCCTCAAAATCCGCGTGCAGTGAGGTGTATTTTGAGGCACCTCAAAATCCGCGTGCAGTGAGGTGTATTTTGAGGCGCCTCAAAATCCGCGTGCAGTGAGGTGTATTTTGAGGCGCCTCAAAATCCGCGTGCAGTGAGGTGTATTTTGAGGCGCCTCAAAATCCGCGTGCAGTGAGGTGTATTTTGAGGCGCCTCAAAATCCGCGTGCAGTGAGGTGTATTTTGAGGCGCCTCAAAATCCGCGTGCAGTGAGGTGTATTTTGAGGCGCCTCAAAATCCGCGTGCAGTGAGGTGTATTTTGAGGCGCCTCAAAATCCGCGTGCAGTGAGGTGTATTTTGAGGCGCCTCAAAATCCGCGTGCAGTGAGGTGTATTTTGAGGCGCCTCAAAATCCGCGTGCAGTGAGGTGAATTTTGAGGCGCCTCAAAATCCGCGTGCAGTGAGGTGTATTTTGAGGCACCTCAAAATCCGCGTGCAGTGAGGTGTATTTTGAGGCGCCTCAAAATCCGCGTGCAGTGAGGTGTATTTTGAGGCGCCTCAAAATCCGCGTGCAGTGAGGTGTATTTTGAGGCGCCTCAAAATCCGCGTGCAGTGAGGTGTATTTTGAGGCACCTCAAAATCCGCGTGCAGTGAGGTGTATTTTGAGGCGCCTCAAAATCCGCGTGCAGTGAGGTGTATTTTGAGGCGCCTCAAAATCCGCGTGCAGTGAGGTGTATTTTGAGGCGCCTCAAAATCCGCATGCAGTGAGGTGTATTTTGAGGCGCCTCAAAAACCGCGTGCAGTGAGGTGTATTTTGAGGCGCCTCAAAATCCGCGTGTAGTGAGGTGTATTTTGAGGCGCCTCAAAATCCGCGTGCAGTGAGGTGTATTTTGAGGCGCCTCAAAATCCGCGTGCAGTGAGGTGTATTTTGAGGCGCCTCAAAATCCGCGTGCAGTGAGGTGTATTTTGAGGCGCCTCAAAATCCGCGTGCAGTGAGGTGTATTTTGAGGCGCCTCAAAATCCGCGTGCAGTGAGGTGTATTTTGAGGCGCCTCAAAATCCGCGTGCAGTGAGGTGTATTTTGAGGCGCCTCAAAATCCGCGTGCAGTGAGGTGTATTTTGAGGCGCCTCAAAATCCGCGTGCAGTGAGGTGTATTTTGAGGCGCCTCAAAATCCGCGTGCAGTGAGGTGTATTTTGAGGCGCCTCAAAATCCGCATGCAGTGAGGTGTATTTTGAGGCGCCTCAAAATCCGCGTGCAATGAGGTGTATTTTGAGGCGCCTCAAAATCCGCGTGCAGTGAGGTGTATTTTGAGGCGCCTCAAAATCCGCGTGCAGTGAGGTGTATTTTGAGGCGCCTCAAAATCCGCGTGCAGTGAGGTGTATTTTGAGGCGCCTCAAAATCCGCGTGCAGTGAGGTGTATTTTGAGGCGCCTCAAAATCCGCGTGCAGTGAGGTGTATTTTGAGGCGCCTCAAAATCCGCGTGCAGTGAGGTGTATTTTGAGGCGCCTCAAAATCCGCGTGCAGTGAGGTGTATTTTGAGGCGCCTCAAAATCCGCGTGCAGTGAGGTGTATTTTGAGGCGCCTCAAAATCCGCGTGCAGAGAGGTGAATTTTGAGGCGCCTCAAAATCCGCGTGCAGTGAGGTGTATTTTGAGGCACCTCAAAATCCGCGTGCAGTGAGGTGTATTTTGAGGCGCCTCAAAATCCGCGTGCAGTGAGGTGTATTTTGAGGCGCCTCAAAATCCGCGTGCAGTGAGGTGTATTTTGAGGCGCCTCAAAATCCGCGTGCAGTGAGGTGTATTTTGAGGCACCTCAAAATCCGCGTGCAGTGAGGTGTATTTTGAGGCGCCTCAAAATCCGCGTGCAGTGAGGTGTATTTTGAGGCGCCTCAAAATCCGCGTGCAGTGAGGTGTATTTTGAGGCGCCTCAAAATCCGCATGCAGTGAGGTGTATTTTGAGGCGCCTCAAAAACCGCGTGCAGTGAGGTGTATTTTGAGGCGCCTCAAAATCCGCGTGCAGTGAGGTGTATTTTGAGGCGCCTCAAAATCCGCGTGCAGTGAGGTGTATTTTGAGGCGCCTCAAAATCCGCGTGCAGTGAGGTGTATTTTGAGGCGCCTCAAAATCCGCGTGCAGTGAGGTGTATTTTGAGGCGCCTCAAAATCCGCGTGCAGTGAGGTGTATTTTGAGGCGCCTCAAAATCCGCGTGCAGTGAGGTGTATTTTGAGGCGCCTCAAAATCCGCGTGCAGTGAGGTGTATTTTGAGGCGCCTCAAAATCCGCGTGCAGTGAGGTGTATTTTGAGGCGCCTCAAAATCCGCGTGCAGTGAGGTGTATTTTGAGGCGCCTCAAAATCCGCGTGCAGTGAGGTGTATTTTGAGGCGCCTCAAAATCCGCGTGCAGTGAGGTGTATTTTGAGGCGCCTCAAAATCCGCATGCAGTGAGGTGTATTTTGAGGCGCCTCAAAATCCGCGTGCAATGAGGTGTATTTTGAGGCGCCTCAAAATCCGCGTGCAGTGAGGTGTATTTTGAGGCGCCTCAAAATCCGCGTGCAGTGAGGTGTATTTTGAGGCGCCTCAAAATCCGCGTGCAGTGAGGTGTATTTTGAGGCGCCTCAAAATCCGCGTGCAGTGAGGTGTATTTTGAGGCGCCTCAAAATCCGCGTGCAGTGAGGTGTATTTTGAGGCGCCTCAAAATCCGCGTGCAGTGAGGTGTATTTTGAGGCGCCTCAAAATCCGCGTGCAGTGAGGTGTATTTTGAGGCGCCTCAAAATCCGCGTGCAGTGAGGTGTATTTTGAGGCGCCTCAAAATCCGCGTGCAGTGAGGTGTATTTTGAGGCGCCTCAAAATCCGCGTGCAGTGAGGTGTATTTTGAGGCGCCTCAAAATCCGCGTGCAGTGAGGTGTATTTTGAGGCGCCTCAAAATCCGCGTGCAGTGAGGTGTATTTTGAGGCGCCTCAAAATCCGCGTGCAGTGAGGTGTATTTTGAGGCGCCTCAAAATCCGCGTGCAGTGAGGTGTATTTTGAGGCGCCTCAAAATCCGCGTGCAGTGAGGTGTATTTTGAGGCGCCTCAAAATCCGCGTGCAGTGAGGTGTATTTTGAGGCGCCTCAAAATCCGCGTGCAGTGAGGTGTATTTTGAGGCGCCTCAAAATCCGCGTGCAGTGAGGTGTATTTTGAGGCGCCTCAAAATCCGCGTGCAGTGAGGTGTATTTTGAGGCGCCTCAAAATCCGCGTGCAGTGAGGTGTATTTTGAGGCGCCTCAAAATCCGCATGCAGTGAGGTGTATTTTGAGGCGCCTCAAAATCCGCGTGCAGTGAGGTGTATTTTGAGGCGCCTCAAAATCCGCGTGCAGTGAGGTGTATTTTGAGGCGCCTCAAAATCCGCGTGCAGTGAGGTGTATTTTGAGGCGCCTCAAAATCCGCGTGCAGTGAGGTGTATTTTGAGGCGCCTCAAAATCCGCGTGCAGTGAGGTGTATTTTGAGGCGCCTCAAAATCCGCGTGCAGTGAGGTGTATTTTGAGGCGCCTCAAAATCCGCGTGCAGTGAGGTGTATTTTGAGGCGCCTCAAAATCCGCGTGCAGTGAGGTGTATTTTGAGGCGCCTGAAAATCCGCATGCAGTGAGGTGTATTTTGAGGCGCCTCAAAATCCGCGTGCAATGAGGTGTATTTTGAGGCGCCTCAAAATCCGCGTGCAGTGAGGTGTATTTTGAGGCGCCTCAAAATCCGCGTGCAGTGAGGTGTATTTTGAGGCGCCTCAAAATCCGCGTGCAGTGAGGTGTATTTTGAGGTGCCTCAAAATCCGCGTGCAATGAGGTGTATTTTGAGGCGCCTCAAAATCCGCGTGCAGTGAGGTGTATTTTGAGGCGCCTCAAAATCCGCGTGCAGTGAGGTGTATTTTGAGGCGCCTCAAAATCCGCGTGCAGTGAGGTGTATTTTGAGGCGCCTCAAAATCCGCGTGCAGTGAGGTGTATTTTGAGGCGCCTCAAAATCCGCGTGCAGTGTGGTGTATTTTGAGGCGCCTCAAAATCCGCGTGCAGTGAGGTGTATTTTGAGGCGCCTCAAAATCCGCGTGCAGTGAGGTGTATTTTGAGGCGCCTCAAAATCCGCGTGCAGTGAGGTGTATTTTGAGGCGCCTCAAAATCCGCGTGCAGTGAGGTGTATTTTGAGGCGCCTCAAAATCCGCATGCAGTGAGGTGTATTTTGAGGCGCCTCAAAATCCGCGTGCAATGAGGTGTATTTTGAGGCGCCTCAAAATCCGCGTGCAGTGAGGTGTATTTTGAGGCGCCTCAAAATCCGCGTGCAGTGAGGTGTATTTTGAGGCGCCTCAAAATCCGCATGCAGTGAGGTGTATTTTGAGGCGCCTCAAAATCCGCGTGCAATGAGGTGTATTTTGAGGCGCCTCAAAATCCGCGTGCAGTGAG